TATATATATGTCCGAACTCGATTTATATTCGTTGTTTTTGACATAAAGATTTCTTTTTTCTGGCTCCTATTGACTATAATTGTTTATCAAATGTTTACCGAAGTGTTTACGCATATACGTAGGTAAGTTGATGCCAACAAATAGACAGTTATATAGTAAGATTTCTCGTAGCCTAGCCTTCAGAAAAGGGCATTGTTATTACATCTGATTTGTTTAGCTTATAGTAACTCCTACTGTAATTGTTGCCTGATTTTTTTTGATTTACATCAGTATCAGCCAGTTACATTAGCCGGCTTTTTTTTTTACCAAATATTATGGCTATTTAATGGAGCCATGTTTGCGCACGTTTATTTATTTAGTTTGTTACTATAAGAAAGATATCGTCTCCACTTTTGCCTTCTAAATCGTCAGAACATGTTTTTGCTTTTAGCCACGTTGCGTTATCCGTCTCCTGCCCAGGTTTTTCGCAAAGCGAGCACTGTATATCGACAACAGAACAACATTCTTTTAAATAATTATCGTCGCATAATAATTTATAAGGGCGTCGTGCTCCTGTCGACCTCACCTGTTTTATCTATATTCTGCTCGCAGCAATGACAGTTTCCGCAACAGCTGAACGCAGTCATGTCTGGTTAGACCCACTATCGCATTTAAATTGCGGTTTATCTTATCGTGGTCGAATTTCTACATGAAAAACAGCGCCCATTATCATCGTAGGATTATCTTGTCTTTCTAGTTCTAGCTTTTACCGCTATATAGTTCTCATTTGGAGTTGAGAGACATGTTTACGCATTCCCATTCCTATGAGTTATTTGTCTCTATTAAAAAGCGTTTTGTTGTTCTTGGCAAAGGCAATAAATATCTCCTTTGACATAAGTTAAAGCAGGCGGCCATACAAACCATATAAGCGAACTTCGACGTAGCCCGGGCGGTCATCTCTTGCTTCAAACTGAAGGCATCTAGGGTATATGAAGAGCAGCTAACTAGGCATCGCATAGTGCCAATGACCAAGACCACGCCCTCGTATTATTATGATCCGTCTAGTCATCGCCCTGTACAGCTAAATCAACGATGCGGAACTCCGAACGAAATTGCCTCTCTTGCGCTTTAGATGGTGGTTGTTACTGCAGCCGTCGTCGTCGTCGTCGTCGTCGTTGAATTTGTTCTTGATCCATATTCCTTTTCTAATCATTCATCTCGCTAGCTAGTTCGCGCGCAGTATAGATAGCCCGTAGTTTGGGGTTCTCGTCGATGTCGAATAGTTCATTTGTAGGCTTCTCCTAGTTTTGCTCCTGCCATAATCACGAAATAAAGAGTCCAACGTTTACTAAACTACTTTAAAATACGTTCTGAATAACAATGTTATCGATGAAAAATATTAAACTGTAGGCTGACTGTTCATTTGACAACTTTACAACGATAAGTTATACGACCTTCAAGTAAGTTTGGCCTAACTGATAGACAGACACGCCACTGTCACAGCGATACGCAAGCCAATACATCTCGACTTAATCAGGAAAGGAATGTTTCAAGGTGGACCAACAAAATAAAAGACTCAGGTAGAATAGATATATTCGGAGAAAGCTTTCGATACTGTTTTGTATAATCGTAGCCGTGTATTAGTTAAGATAATATTGATTGATACCTCAACTGAAACCTGGATTTTTCAGAAATTGGCTTGTTTATAGGTATATACATTTAACAGAGACAGCGGATATTCCATATAGTTGTGCTATATTTAAAGGTAATATTTGGTTACCGCTACAGTCTGAGGAGCTGGCTCAGCAGGGAGGTCGACTTGTTCGCTGTGGCCATTTGTCTGAGATGGAGAAACCGACGACTGCATATCGGTCTCAGTTGAACCGTTGAGTCCCTGATGTTGACTTTCAGCGACTGAACCATCGTCTTCTTTTTCTTCAACAATAGCGGCCGTAGAAGCGGGAGCTGCCTTCGGATTTTTCTTAGACTCCTCCTGTTTTACGACTTTTTTAGCAGGCGACTTCGGCAGCGCGGCAGATGCTGATTTAACGTTAGTGGATGATGTCTGTAAATATTGTAATATAACAAGTAGAATAATTAGCATGGAAAGACCAGCTAACCAGACGATCATTAGATAATTTTTATCTAATACGTCCATGTTTTCGTCAAAAATATATAGCAGAACATTCGATACGAATCTTAGTTCTTGTTACATAGAAACCTATATAGGCTTCATGTCATCTCATGCGGAAACTACATGTCACGATACGACTACTCACTTTAGTGGCGAGGGAGCTTTTTGGTTTGGAATCAGCTGTGTTGCTTGAGCCTGCTGCAGACGGTTTTGGCACTGGCCGAGAAGCCGCCGCAGTACGCGCAGCCGCCACTCGGCTAGCGGCAGCGGGAGCCGCAGCTAACGTCGCTGGCTTTTTTGCCACTGCTGACGTCGCAGCTGTTGCCACAGGCTTAGCAGATGACGCTCGCGCCGCTAATGGCTTTGTCGCAGCTGTTGTGGACGCCGCGGTCCGAGTGGAGGGTACCTTCGGGGCTGTCGACGCTTTAGCGGTACTCGCCAGAGGTTTACTAGATGACGCGGTAGCGCCGGGGGCGGCGGCGACGGCGGCGGCGGCGACGGCGGCGGCGGCGCTGGTGGTGGTTGGCTTCGCGGAGGAGGTACTGGCCACTCGCGGCATGGCTGGCCGGACGGAGGGTGCTTTAGCCGAACTCACCGTGTTCGACGTTGGCTTGGCCGTTGATAGAGCTTTAGCTGTTGTTGTAGTTGCCGGCGTCTTCGCCGCGTTCGTTTTGCTCGCCGCAGTAGCCGCAGCTGTGGAAGCTGTCTTCTGAGCAACAGCTGCCTTAGCAGCAGGTGCCCGCGCGGCAGTTGGAGCTACCTTTGACGTCGTGCCACTGGTAATTTTAGCGGCAGCAGCAGCAGCAGCAGCAGCAGCAGGCTTCGAGGCAGCTGCTGGCTTCGTAGTTACTGAAAGAGCAGCTCGAGGAGCGGCTGTTTTAGACGAGGCGACAGCTGTTGATTTGGCCGCTGTAGTAGCTTTCGCAGCAACAGGTGCCTTTGGTGCAGTCTTTGATGGAGCTGCAGCAGGAGCGTTGCCTTTAGCACCGGTGGAGCCTGTCGTTTTTGTTGATGCTGTCGCCTTCGGAGATGCTGTAGATCCTTTTGCAGTTGGCTTGACGCCAGCCTTCGTTTGTGCTTTTGCTACAGTAGGTTTGCTTTCAGCTGTTGCTGCAGAAACAGCAGCAGCAGCAACAGCAGCACTGGCGGCAGCAGCAGCAGTGGCGGCAACAGCAGCTGCAACACCAGCCGCTGTAACTGAAGCATCAATAGGTAGGAAGTTCGATTCAATGGGAACTTTTATTTCTCCCTCTTGGGCAGCAGGTGTCGTTTCTCCAACTTTGACGAATTTCCACTCTTGAACTTCGTTGTCTGACTCGGAGTCAGCATCCTGCACGCACTCGGCTTCCGGAATTGTATCCGGGATTACTGGAGCGGCTCCATGAGACTCCGCCGCCTCAATTTTGGCTTCTTCAGCATCACTCGGTGATAATTTCTCCATTATATCCTGAATGCTACCAAGCTTGAGGCTATCCGCTTGTCCACTTACAGCGTTCTTGGGTTCACCTGTGATAGGACAAAGAAGAACGGTGATGCAATTTGTTCATAACGGTCTGTAAATTGAAAGTACCTTTTATCAGGTCTTACATGTATTTAGATCCGGCTCTTATCAAAGATGCATATAGATGCACACCTTATTGATTTATATAGAAAATAAAAAAGTATTCTTACTGATCTCAGCTACAGGAGGCGCGATTTCCACACATTTATTCAGTTCTTCAGGTTTGTCTGGTGATGCTTCTTTGATGAGCTGTGACACTGGGCTAGTAGCACTTAATACAACTGCCGGTTCCTTTTCAATAGCATCCACCACCTTAGGTCCATCATCCACTGTCATACTGGCCATCATAGATTCGATAAGATTTATCCCTTCAGATGACTGTTCTCCAGCAGCAGCAACAGCATCAGTAGCAGCAGTATCAGTGGCAACAGCATCAGCAGCAGCAACCTCATCAGCAGCAGCAACAGCAACAGCAGCATCAGTAAGAGCAGCATCAGCATCAGCAACAGCAGCATCAGCAACAGCAGCATCAGCAACAGCAGCATCAGCAACAGCAGCATCAGCAGCAGCAGCATCACCAGCAGCAGCAGCATCACCAGCAGCAGCATAGCATCACCAGCAGCAGCAGTAGCATCACCAGCAGCAGCAGTAGCATCACCAGCAGCAGCAGTAGCATCACCAGCAGCAGCAGTAGCATCACCAGCAGCTGCAGCAGCATCACCAGCAGCAGCAGCAGTAGTAGTGGATTCGGCGGCTCCCTGCTCCGGTTGCTGCAGCTGCTCGTCGTCGTATAGGAGCGGCTGGACGCTAGGAATAATGACTTCCTCGTGCACGCCACCTTCCAATGAGAATAAATAATCACTTCGAGGAGTGACCAGCGGCTCTGTAACCGGAAGAACAGCTTCGGACGCGCAGGGCATAGTTGGCTGGGCACTACAGGTTTCGATCAAGTTGAGCAGATCGCCTTGGATGAGCTGCGCGGATATGTCAGCAACAGCCGCAGGTGAAGCATCGACAACTGAGACTCCTTCCTTATCCATTTCGCCATCCTTAGACTGATTATTTGACCTAAGCTGACCTATCGAACTCGATACAGGGTCGGTTTGTTGTTGAATTTCTGCGGATCCTGGAGAATGGGTATCAACGGGAGCTGGCGCTGTAAACAAATTTTCCGTAGGATCATCGATATTAATTGTATCCGCTCGAGGTTCAGGAACAGGGGAAGGTGCCACAGATGCTTGCGAGGTCACTGTCATTTCTGGAGCTGGAAGTGCGATCTCGTCGCTTGGTGATTCTTCAGGTATCACATGAATATTCTGGTCACGGACAATCAGCTCGCTCAGTTTGACGTCCATGTTTACAGCAGGAACAATGTTTGTTTGAGGCTGATCTTCATGTACCACCATTGAATTGAGCTCATCTTCACTATCTGAAAGCTGGCCTAGTGCCTCGACATTTACGATGCCTGCACCTTCGCCAGCTTTTATAGGGGATGAATCCGACGGGGCAGCGCACGGTGGTGCAGCGGCTGTGCAATCTTCAATTTCCACAAGTTCCGCCTTCGCCGGCTCCGGTGCTGTGCTAAGCTGCCGGTCAATCTCGTAAACAAGTTCGTCTCTCGACTCCGATTTGGACATCGCCTCCATGGCCGCCGTCGTAATCGCTAGCGAGGCTGAAATCACAAAGAAATAACAATGACAGATGCGCGTTCGTTATTTAGGCTGTTCGGTATTACTTCAGACGGCTGGCTGCCTCCAGTACGAAACGAACTTCGACCGCCTCGCTTCAAGTGTTTTTAACTTTAATAGGCCAACACAGGATTGTCGCTGCTCCACCAGTTAAGTCGCAGAGGAATAATAGTGACCCAACGAGCCGACACGTGTGAACTTCGCGATTCGGAGTGAAACGATGAAAAGCCACAGGCAAGAACAAGCCCTTAATAGGGCATTCAGGTACTGAAAGGTTTCAGCCATAGAAGTGCCGACTTTTCTATTATATCTATAGCATTAAAATAACGCATAATATTCTAGAATATGTCCTAGAACATTTATATTTTGTGTGTCTATATTTTTGCGGAGTTCGACAAAAACGAAAGGCGATTGGCCCACATGAAGCGATGCATTAGGCCCGAAAAGATCAGAGTTAAAGTCACGTTATCTATCTAAGTTTCGTATAATAACAAGGAGTCCAAGTAGAATTGTAACTAGACTAATTAATTACCAATAATCAGGACAAACGATGGACATTTGTGCGGGTTATTATTATATTCAATATTGCTAATTAACATAGTATCTTGCTTCTTTAGAAAACAAAATTGAAAATATGATCTATGGCGCCCATCTAAAATAAATATTGTATGCATACGCTGTCTCCAATTGCCCAGCGACGATATCAACAGAAATTTGACCAATATGATGTTTTAGGTATTGAACTCATACATTGAGCTTCACATATTTTCCATGAATTGGTTAGGAACCAGAATTTATGGGCTCAATGTCAACACGTAAATAAATGACTGCGTCGTTACGTAACTCAATTGAATTATAGCGTTTTATAACGGAGGCATGTAGCACGTTCTTTGAAATATTTGACACCGAAAGACTACAGAAGCACTAAGCATGGCGAGACTGGTCTACAGAAAACATACCCATGTATGTCCTGGAACTGTGGTACGCATTTCTCCGTTGGCCGAACACAAAAGCGCCGTTTTCGTCACGCATTGTCGCTTTGGCAAACCTCAATCGTATGGTAATCGTCGACAACCCAAAGCGCCACTTAAAGCACCGCTCATTAACAAACTCTTAACTACTTGACACAACAGCAGTTACGGAACGCGACGAATCTTGCAAACGGCAATTCACTATTTAATTGAATCGATAGCAAAAACAATTCTAGCGCATTTCACCCCCTCCACAGCACACGAATCCCTTTCCACCTTCTCCCCTATTTCATGTGAGCTCACGTGTACGCGTTGTTCGTCAAAGGGCACGTTTACTGTCAACGTTCCAGTATGCGTTGGTTAGATTTCAAAGAGCACAGCGCTTATACTCGATTACGACAAATGCGGGGAATACACACCCATAACAGCCTTATATCGGAATCGACCCAACAATCCGTTCATTTAATATAAAAACAGTTAGTAAATATCTCTCGGCTCAAGAAGCTTGGTAATCCATATTGCTAAGTCGAACTTGATACTTGTGGACTTGTTGAACCTTTGTCATACAAGGGCATGTTCAACAACAGCGTTCATGACAGGTGATCTTGTAACAAAGACAAAATTATATTTATATATGAACATATCTATCGTTCGTTTACTGAGACCATTAAATAGTCTTTTCAGCTCTTTCGAATGACACTTTTATACGAAAAGATGTTACCACTATAGGCAAATCATATCCTGGACCACACTCTTTTGGTTGGGGCAAAGAGGTACTTCAGAAATTCGTCAGGGCATATGTACAATGAAATTATGAATTATTATTAAATGCGATGATACCAAAAAAAGAAATACGGCAAGCAGAATTTTAATCGGATGTGCTTGAAGTACAGCGTTTTTTTTCGATATCCTTGTTCAGTGTCCGTGATGTCAAGCCATAAGTCATAGCGTAATCTTGAAAATGTACTTTTGGATATAATTCCTGAAATTAGTTCCTAAAATCAACTAGAACAAACTGCAGTAATAACGTAATGTAATCGCACGTAAATAAAAGGTGTGTATATATATTATTTATAAAAATGTAAACAGGGCGATTAATTTGTATATATATTTGTACACTAGTTAAATAGAAAAGAATTCCACTCTCGACGTGATGTTTTGCACAACGCAAAATACTTGGCCATAAGTGCCAAAGATGTGCCAAAGATCGCTGGCTCGAGTCCCATGTACGAGTTCAAAGTCTGCTTATGATCCGTTTGCCTATCTGTCTGACGATTTAGCGAGTCTATAATATAAAGTAATAGGGTAAGTCTGAGAATATACGAAGAATAATATGGGAACGAGTTAAGCATAATTTGCAGAACGTATACCCAATCTGTTATATAGAAATGCGTGCATTCCCAGTATACTCCCTCACTTCACTTAAGTCCATCGAGTGTACTTTTTGCGAGGCGTGCGCCGCCATAGTGCGTACATATTAGCTCGCACTCGCTCGGCCAATAGTCTAGAAACACTTCAAGTATTAAGCATCAGGTATATCGCCAGTGCTTTATCCTTTGCTTCAGTGAATGTCTGTTCTCCTATTCAAAATATATATGCTTTTTCTTCTTCCACTCTACTGCAGTGAATTGATATTCCCTTTTTTGGGCGAGAAATGGCCTGCGGTTTACGTTGCAAGATAAAACTGAACTATTCCACGTGTACGCGCTCATCTACCACAGCAATCACGAGCGAAGAGCAACAGTTGCCCAAGGGTCGTTTTGATCGGGTCCTCCATTCGACCTTCATGCAGATAGGATCGAATAAATGGGCATTTATCGTGGCTTGAGCTTCAATCGCCCATTCGTTCACTCTATTTCCGATACAACTGTTGGCGGTGGTGCCATTCCGCAATCCGGGCCACTGCCAACGACAACGATAACCATCACAATAAGAGTAGTAAACCACTGACCTGCGGTGATAAAAAGTAACCATATTGCCGTGGTCTAGTTCAATTCGACCCTATATACAGTATATTTGATGTGTAATAGCGAGAAACAAAAGCCCTCTGATACATATCTATACGTAACTAATGCATGAGTTTATTTCGTAATTTAAAAATTATCACAAGTTTATTTGACCGAAGCTTCTGGAATCGCAAAATCAGTCAGCTTTTTGATTAATTCCAAGAGGTACGCGGTTTATTTTTTTCATTCAGGAGCTTGTCAAGGGACCGCATGACCGCATTTGGTGATAATATATATATATATATATATATATATATATATATATTATATCATATTTTGCAAGACGAGACCCAATCTGAGCAACTCCTACGCTCTGCGAAATACTGCTAATAGTATATCAGAATAACAATACACTATAAAATCACATATATCTTCAGTTCGGCTTACATGTAATACAGGGTTTTTCTTTTACACACGCTGAACGAAATATTCAAAGGTTAGGTCTCTATAGTGCCACATGCAATAAAGCTTCAGCCATTAAAAACTTGGTCTGCTCCATCCTTTAGAAATAGGGATATCAGTAGAACTTGAAAAGCAGTCGGAGTTAAAAACAGATGAACTATAACAAGAAAGTTTAAATCTGTTGATTCCTATTTCTTTTTTCGTTTTTTTTTTTATTTCAGTACATGCAATGATACTCACAGGTCACTGGCAGCGCTTAAGGCGCTTCGATAAATACTATCATCCATTGGACCCGCCCGCAGCTCTCAGATAGTAGATCCTCATTTTAAAGATAGAAGGAATCTAAAATGGTTGTGAAGTATCATATGCAAATAAGCTAACACAAATTATTAATTATATCTAATATGACACTGTCGATGCATAGCCTAATACAAAGAGACTTTTTGATATATTTGATACATGCCTACCCAACTAGATGTCAAAAATGTTTTTATTTTGAACATTTTTTCTATACTAGTTGCCACCTTTGCTTGGCAAAATTTGCTAAATTCGACCCATATTTTCTCTCTTAGATATTGACTAGCGAAGGCATACTGTCAACTAGGCCTTCTACTGGCCGACAGAATGGCTTAAAGTTCTATGTGGAACCACTCTGTCTCAACAACTCTGGCAAGAGCTACGGCTGATACACCAGACGCGGCAGTAAGATTACGACAGCAGAAAGGAGACAGAAAATAATTATCTCGTTTTGTTTTTTCTACAGGGGTAGTTGATGTGTTTGTCCCATATGTGGGCGTTAGCGTCGTCACATATATAGAAGTCTGTGCAAATGAAAATTGCCTCGACATTCGCACTGTCTTTCCACTCCGTCTTTGACCTGTCGCTCCTATTTTTTTTTATTGTTTACTTTCGGCAGCGTGGACCTATTGGCTATTGTTCATTCGATCTGACCAGGCCAATTACTCGCGGTCGTCTCTATGGTGGCGAAACGTTATCGCAATAGTTTGACGTTTTGAAAGTTCGATGCTATCGCCAGCATCAAATCGAATACATCAAATGCTACACATTGGACTCAAATATAATATAATACATGTTTTTCAAGTACGATTCTACAGTAGCAGACGTTTGTTTTTTCTAAATATCTCGCCTAGTGGTCGAAACAACGGAGACGACACGAGTCCCAATTTAAGTGGAGTTGATACGTAAGCAGAGTTAAGCCCAGTATCACCCCAAGCCAAACAAAAATTTAGATCGATCTCACAGTACAATGCGTTAAGGATTAAATAAGGGAGTACGAGTGAGGTAAAAATGAATGCCAGTACTAATACTAAATGATTGCATTTGTTAGACTAAGATACGTATTATATAATACAACGAAAAACATCGTATGAAGGATGCAAGGTGCAGAGACAAGACAGGCCGTTGGAAGCTTACCTGAAGTAGCTGTGGCCAGATCGGATGCGTCGGCGGCTGGGACTGGAGCATTCTCCGCGGGCTGGAGGCTGGCACTAAATGGCACGAACTCCGGCGCCTCTGGGTTTAGTCGCTCTGACTCTGGGGTTTCGTTTTTTAATGTTGCGATCAGATCTCGCTGTTCACCCTCTGGAGGCGACAGATCGCAACTGGTCAGCTCCAGACCTCCTGGTGCCTGTTTATGATACGTTTAATGGAAATGAAAAAGCACGCGATAAGACTCGGTAATCGTTTTATCATGATATACATATATATACACACCTTCTGGATTATCAGACCAGTAGTTTCTTGACTACGTCGTAAATAAGTGCACGAACAAATATCAGACGAAGGTCAATAGTCAATCTGACGCATTTAATACCTTGTCCGTTATTAGGTTTCATTAATCTGTAGCTCAGCGGCGAGCTATCCGCATTCATGGAAACTATTGTGTTTCGGTAATCTATAAGTTGTAGTCTATTGCGCGTCATTACTCTAGTTTATGTATAAAACATAGGACTATACTATTATCAACTAATAATAATAGTGGAGCATTAGTACTTTCTTTCTGAGTCCCACGCCGAAATCAGTTAGGGAAGAAAGCGGGAATTGTTGTCCAAATGCTTCTCGTGCCTTTTTTTCCGGAAAAGGAGAGATACGATAACACATTTTACGATTCCTCTCATCGGAGAAATCGTTTCCACCAATTTACAACCTCTGTGCTTTCCACATGAACAAAAATAGTTGATCAAGTGGGAAGGCTACGCCGCACTGATGCGAAATTGACCCAACCTCAAACCTCACTTGGGCTATATAACGCTTACAGCAATGCGTGTATAGGTCTAGCACATGTAAAAGCCTGATTTGTTTCAAGTCGATCCATTTGCGTTCAAGAAAAATTACGAGGCATCTGTGCATTTATTCCAACGGTCGAAAGCTCTCTGAAGATCTTAGTGGTATCTCGCAAATCAGTACGACCGGAACTACGTTGACTAGTGGGTTAATGTATGTTTACTTTAATCTTATAAGTATAATTCAAAGTCACACTTCTTTCAGCTAGGGATTATTGAATCCAGCATTTGATGCTAGTGAGGTCGGCGCCACTATTTACCTCAGCGCGAAGGTGGTCTAGCGTCGAGTCCTCATAAGCATCTTATTTATAGCACATCGTAACATATAGCATTAATAGTACTGTTTTTTAAGAACGTAATATGGTGTTGTGCCCGCGACGTCCCGAGAGACAATGGTCATCCTTTTAAAGGATAGTAGCAATGTTATTTTGCTAAAATACAAACAACCACTACAAATGGCTTATTGTAAAGAAAGTGAAACTGAACCTCCATCTAACAATATGCTAGAGACTTCCTAGATGTCAAACAAAGAAATGGAAAAGTACAACGAGTATTCTTCTGCGTATGTCCGCTTCCATTTCAATGTCAACATATAAGGTACCTATTAATCACACAAACGAATGAGAAAAAACTACCGTTATGATTCTTAGGATCCAAAGCAACAATTTAGCTAAACGCGGGAATAAAGAAAATATTAGTCAACCGTAACGACAGCTTCTCGTATGGAAAAAATACCGCACCGCCACTATTGTAGCAACGATATAAGTATCGGTGATACAGTGCCTCGGAATATCTTTACATAGCATAGCATGGTAGTATGGTTTGAAGAAAGCCATGTCTGTATCCTTAAAACCAGTACCAGGAAGCATCTTTGACAAACGAAGTCACATTTACCAAACCCTTAAGCTGTTGTCAATTCGGGCCACTAGAAGCCAACTGTATTGGCAGAATTTTAGAGGTTTTTTAAGTGAGTGTATTTTCGCATCGAACCTACCACTGAACTAATGTAGGGACATCTAAATACTTCTCCAATCAGCTTAATGTAACTGATTATTGTAACAACTTCAGCTTCAGCTAAGAAAAGTTTTCCCGGTCATTTTGGGACCGGGCTAACTTTTCCTCCACTTCGTTACGTCTCACAGAAGTAGAATTTGTCACAAAATTTATAATTATGTACATATGGACAACTAAAACTTATTATGAAAGCATAATTGCCTGCGCACCTTTCGATACGGTTCTAAGCTTAAGAACTTGATTTGAATCTGTGCTGTATACTTCCTTATAGAAAAATTATGAATTTACCCAAAAACAATTTAAATAGCCATCGACACTGCCAGTGAACCGGGTGAGGGATTGTAAAAGGGGACAGACTTCTATATTGCTTATCTTGAGCACCACAAAGATGTAAGCATGTGTACTGTTTCGTGGTTCAATGATAAGCAACGCTCTGCAGACGATTAGAGATTGAAGGCCCAACCTTGCATATCGGTTCGATTTAGCGCGTTTGTTTTTAATAGTAGTCGGCAGCGGCACATATCCGCTTTTCGCGCGTTCTGCATTTTCACGTCCTATTTACGAGCCGACCACAGCCTTTGAAAACGTACCGAACTGTATTGCTTACAGAGATGTCGCCTAGTATATCTGGGCTCTCAGGAATGCTATAAAGAGAGAGGTATATATTTGGCACATGCCATTGTAACGCATCGTTTCTCATATCATATATTTCTTACGTGTGAACAACATCCGTTTCAATTGGTTTTCCGCACTTACAATGTATTACAGTTAGTGATTTCCGTCACCGTCTGCTTGACAAACAATCGCGGGGTGTTCGTTTTCGACTCAATCCCGTCGACCAAAGAATACTTAAGCTCGTCTAAGGAAAACCAAACAAGTTTTCCTATATTCTATTATCTTTATTGTCGCTAGCTAGCCCAAGAATCATATGCGCTCGATCTGATCTGTCTTACTGAAGCCTAGTTTCTGATGTAAATATGTCCACAGAACTTTTTGCACGGCTTGCAAGAATCTGCTTCAGAGATATCACAACGATTTTAGATTCAGTAATGGCTAAAGTGAATGAACAGTTTTGTTGAAGGCCGCCCCAGTTAATGATATTCATTTTGTCATTTATAGGAACATCTTTAGGAGCGTCTCTCCTGGGGAACTTTTACGCGGAGCGTTACTTTGGCTGGGCTTGATGCTGCTTGCCAGTCCACTGTTGGAATGCCTCCCGCGTGGACGGAAACAATCCTCATCGCACGTCTCAAAGCGACCTTACCATACGCTTTTATGTGATTCGGGCTTTGCGGCCTGAAATATCTATATAGCAGACGGTGGCACGTTCGGGTGTCATTTGTCGTTTGAAGCACTCACAGCAAAGATATCGGTTAACTGGGACATTTGTTTTCAGTTTCGTGACCAGGCGAACTTCGCAGATTAGATTCGCAGAGAGATAAGCCAACAAGGATATGGTGATCTCACAGCCCCATCCGGTAGACACCACCACTACTTAATACTTTCAGCCGCATTTCTCTAACGCTGTGTTTGTATTCTGCTGGTCTTAAATGTTTATTACTTATGTAACGGTGTAACGGAAAGGAGAAAATTTCTCACAAGGCCTTTCCGTTCGCAGCGACAGCGAATCAACAGCAAATGAGGTCCTATGCAGGGAGTTGGTAGTTTACACGCCGAAACAGCCGGCGTTCCCTTTACGGAGAGGTGTACAGCCATAACACTTCGACATGGATACTGATTTTGCCAGAATTCTTCCAAACATCCATATAGGTTTAGGAAGCTCACATGTTTTATAGGTATTTGTTGCAAAGTACAGTTGTTCGATCACAGTAGACTAATGTTCTTCGAAGAAAACACATGGCATTCCACTAAATTGCTAATGACGACTGATGACGATTGTGTAATTGTATGCAGACCTTCTCGCGGCAGCTGTCGCCTAGTTTTGGCATGAGCACATTAGTGGGTTACAGATCAGTCGTTGCCCTCGACTCCTTCTATCTAGTAATTGTCTTTTTACCTAGGCTTGCGCATTAGCTTGCTAAGAAGTATTGCACGTTCATTGGATTTCGTCACAGCTACTCTATAAAAACCAGTAAATGTCACTTCTCGAAGGCATCCTTAACCAGATCCTTGTAAACCAAATTTACCAAATAAACAGTATTTATCAAAACGTAAAACTATCCCTGCAAGCTCCTTTCTATTAAGCGAAATCTTTAGCATTGTTTATCTGTCAACGCCTGGCCGATTTTCTTGACCGTCTTTAACATCGGTTTCGTGCTTGGACAATACAATCATAAAGTGTCTTACTCATGCCAGCTCTCGTCGTTAGTTATATCATATATTATATACAACACGTAAGACATTATACCACTACATTTACATAACTAGCATGATATTGTACAAAAGCTAAAATGTTTGTCGTGCAGACATACCCCCTCGTTGTTGTTGTTGACTTTGTTAAGAGCCATTTCGACTGCACTGTGAACGAAGTCCGCGGCCACCTCTCTAACCGGTGATGCCTCTCCACCTGTAAGTGATGCCAGGTTGGGTACTTCAGCTGCGTATACTGCTGTTGATGGTTTTGAGTCTGTAGTACTACCGTTCAGGCGCGTTTGCTGACTGGAGACATCAGCTGGCTGTTCGGTCAGCTGTTCTCCCGGCGACGGTTGTCCTACTCCAAGACACGTTGCAAACGTTGCTTGGCTCGGGAACACTACCGCCTCGTATCGCCATTTCTTCGGATCACGCAGGTTTACCACCAGCGTCGTTATATTATCCGTCGATCCTATTAAGAATATCGACACGTACGTTCACCCGTACGCGCAGAAGAACAGACACACACAGCCACAAACATACAACACCCACAAAGTATGCAGCCAAGACACAAAAAGGGTATGAATCAATTAGATAGGATTGAAGGAAAAATCTTCATAATGATATACCTACCGGCATCTTGACGGGAACCTGAAGATCCGCGTTTAGCGCGCCTTTTACGGCCCATCTCGTAATTAGTTCACTTAGTTACTTTTCTATCTAACACTACTCTTCGCAAATGGCTGTTCGTTTTTAAATAAAAATAAACTTCACACTCGCGACGGCACTGTCTGGCAGACGCAGCGTCAACAGAAACGACGACGATGACGACTTCGCTACGTACGTCGCAGCGTTTTCAAGTGAATCCGAAAAAGACCATCACGCTGACTCTGCTTATCTCTTTTCGTTACGCCGTTTCGGGTTTACAAATTCATCCAGTACTAGCTATGCCCGTTTGCCACAGAGACCTCCGACCTAGCCTGGTCTGGTCTGGTCAGGTAGGTTGGTCGCGTGCACTGAACAGCAGCGGACAACTCAACACTACCTATCTGACTAGCTGGCAAACTAGGTAGCTACACGACAAACGCAGAGTAGCTAGCTGAACTAGGCGCACCTCATTGTTTGCAGTATGTGAGTCTGCATGAAGAGTGGTGGTCCCAACGATGTAGACAGCTTTACGCCCAGTCAGTTAAGCCAAGCTATCTGCAGCGGTCCTATATTGGCCCAGCGCAACAAGCAACCGCAGACCGACGGGTAGGCGATGGGCGCGGCGATCTCGTCTAATTGCCTCCTGAACGGTGGCCATTTTGCTGCTATCGCTGTCGCCGCTGATAGTAGCGCACTGAAGCGCGCGCGCTGGTGGCGCCCTCGTATACCACCACGCGGGAGTCTAAAGGGGCACTAGCTGACATCGATAGTGATACCGCAAACAGCAACAATCGCAGTTTTGGCTACATTTACGATAGCAAGCACAATAATGGACGAAACGACCGCAACAACAGAGGCTAGACCACCCTCGGCCTATTGACTCACACCCACCCGTCCTCTAGTGGATGTCTCCGTCGACATCAACAGGCACCGCCTATAGCTTTGACTACAACTACTACTCCCACCAGCCACAGTAGTTTAGTCGTATATGGTTTCCTGTTTTAAGTCTGTAGCGCGACAGTTGCAACTAATAACATAACACAATGCAATATCTTCCTCCAGCTGGTAAAGGGTAACTGCGATCTTTTCTGAACATATAGGTCCTAATGGCTGGAACTAGTTATCGTTACTATTGTGATAGTTTTTTGATTGGTCCGCTACCAAGAGTAAATTGAGCGAACCGCAGCAGACGATTTTTCAGTCGCATACTCCAATCAGTCGGTAGTCCGAAAAAAAAACCGAAAAATATGAGTCTCAAGGTTCTTCTTGTCTTTTTGTGCCCATACCAGTCCATGACTATAGCCACATTTGAGCAAATACGAGACAGCTAAATACCCCCAAAAATTATATATGAATACGTCTAGCATGTTCTCTACCTACGCGCAACTTTTACGGTCCAAAAAACACTTGTGCATATACTTTGAATTTGTATTTTTGAATACAGAACTTCAAATGAAGTTAGCCGTGCACTTCGCTTAAGTTGGCTATCCTATTAGTGACGAAATCGTCATGGGCTATTTCTTATTATTGACATGTAGATAGCAGAGTTCTTAGTTGTCATGCTATAATGTTCGCTCACGAAGCAGTTACAGGTCTCTCCCGTTTAATTCATCCACTTGTAAAACGCTGCAGTCTTTCCAATCTTATTATACAAAAAAACAGTCTTTAATATTCGTTTTTACATTAAGATAGTCATCTTGATTAGTGATCGGTGGATGGTGTTAGGCAATCCTAAATATTTTCAAGATTGCAAAAATTATATACAATTTGCAATAGACTACATTTACCATATAGAAATATGGTCGTTACCTCTTGTTACGGCTGCCTCTGTAAGGTGATCTGCCACACAAGTCGTGTCGAAATGAAGCGATAAAGCTGCATGATAGGTATGGATAACGATGTCCTGTGCCGTCAGACTGTCAAAGAGACCGTCACATCCGAGCACAATAAAATCACATTCACTATCCAGATCCACTGAGTTTACCTCGGCGTCACAACTGACATACGGCTTGTGGTCCACGTCGCCTGTGGTAACCGGAGAAACAAAGCTTCGACTTACGCACTGAAACGCCAACGTCTCATACTAATTTCTGTCTTTATACCCTGCAGTTCATCTCGTTTCCACCCAGAAAATCCAGGGATCCATTATGTATCGCTTTAACAATGAAAGCATATGTTGTAACATGTAAAATGTCTACCCTGTTCAAATACGCTACATTGTAATGTAAAGTCTACGTTTTTGGAATACGTTATGTATGACATAATCATATTAGGACTGTTTTTTCCGAGTAGTATAAATACGCTGTCTCAGGCGTCTTCGTTACATTGAAAATCATTCAGATACTCTATCGATTTATCTCCTTAACAGGGGAAAATTAAGGTTGCTGGAAAGTATTGCAAGAATTGAAAGTTGCATAATGCGTTTCATCTATGTCTTGTTCCTAATGACTATTTTGACTGATTTGTTTTCGTTCACTATGGCAAGTCATTGGCTTAACTTTTGTTAATAGGTTTTTTCATTTTTTTTTAACGTTCCTAACTATTATTAAAATATAAGCGATTCCTCAGAATAACTTGTTCGGTATAGCATGTAGAACCTAATCCCACTAGAAAATCCAGCCAGAGGCCTCGCTAGACTTATCTAGGCTTTCCAGCTCACCTATGAAACGGCATGGCAATCAACCGTATACACCATCTGTATTGCTTTAGTATTGAATTAAAAACAGGTCCAGGTCCTTGAAAGTATGTAGAATTTTAATATTTAGTAGCATCCTCTATGGAATAATATTGGTGGACGAATAGAATAGAAATAGGGTATGTGAGCATGATGGAAATTTTAGCCTTATTTAGTTGCTGGGTTGTAATTTGTGCAGTAAACAAAAATTAATTTTATATAGCCATATTAGCTCTTCACTATAACGACAAGTCCTGATAAGTCTATTAACCCATACGAATGTAACGATGGTATGGCCAAAAGCCCCAGTTTGTTGATGAGTCTAATATTGAAAGTCAGTACCCTAGTATATTAGTTGCTCTTACTTAGGCTGTAGCGATCCTATTTGGCGAATATCATATCAGTATGCCTTCGTGAAGCGCCTTTTTATAGGTTCTTTTTAAGTCAAGATTTTTTTTACTAGTACATCACCTTTAAAGTACAAACCTATAGAACGCGATACAGCCAGATTTCCATTGACTCGATAAATTCCCTGTATCAAATGGACATTACCGCCGAGTTTCTTGATCCGCGTCTGCTCGGACTGAAGAGATGCCTTATGAGGGATTACAAGAGGCTCCGCAGTTCCAGCGCGCGCCAGCACTGCTTCGGAATCCCCCAACCAACCAACATACAACTTGCGACGATCGCAAATTAAAACCACGACGGCCGTACTGCCAGATCGACGGGAAGACTCGTTTGGGCTGAATACCACAGCCATAGACATGATGGCAAGGGTTTGGCAATTTTATAAATCGATATATTAAGAACGTAAACAAAAGGATTGATAATTAAGTAAGTATCATTAAAGAGCGTTGGTAAGCAAACATTTCGTTTATGTCCACACATCTAATTTTGAAAAGCTGCTTCTAATTAGGCGGACTTCTATAGAACGAAGTATAAGCTCTAACCTATAATGTCACGGGTTAATATTGTATTTTTTTGTGGAAACTGCAGTATAGCTGGCTTTGAAATTTGGATGTAAACAAGCTGAGATTTCTATTTATTATATTGCATACTGCATATTATTAAAATAGGTTCTTAAATACTTACTATCGTAGTCACGATAATAACTAAGGTATAATATGGAATTTATCGATAATATAAATAGCGAAATCACCTTCCGCAAAAGTTTTTGTCGATTTCACTGAAAGCTTTTTTGATGGCGTCAGCTGGCGCGTAGCCTTGCGCCAGTTGTTCCGCTAACACCAAATGGAGATGGGCAGCGCCGAAATTTGCTGCGTCCCGGCCTCCGTGACCGTCGAATACTGCGTAATATTCGTAGCGTACGGGTGCGAGCTGAAATTAGTTAGTCATTATTACATTGAATTGGCCGGTTTAAAAGAACTGCAATCGGTATGAATAGTTTATTATTTAATGGGTGATTTTTTATAATATTCGAGCAGACCGTTGTTTGTGTTCTAAAAATAGGAAAAATTGACGGGCATATATATCGTACTTCACGGGTGCTCTTTTGCATTCGGAGACTTGAAATCTTAGCGAAGACTACTGGTTGTGTTGAAATAAAAATAGGGGAAACATGGGTGGCCTATTTTTGGAATCGCATGTGAAGTCAAAGTCGGCTTCGCGCATCAGGTGAGCCGAACCTTCAAGCATGGGGTGATGGCATTAAGGTCGGGCACGATGACGTGGCGATCCTCCATGGTCCTTCTAACGTTCCGGAGAGCCTTAACCGAGATTCCGCTGGGAGAGCACGGAGAGGCGCCGTAAGAGACACCGCTAAGGCATTCTTCGAGCAGCGCAGTATTCGAGTCTACCTCGCGACACACCTTCTCAAGCTCACGTTTGGCTGCGTTGTTTAAGGCATTAATCTGCTGCGAACCTGAAATTAACACAGTGCGTGCAAAATATATATATATATATGTATATATATATGATTGCCTAGATATCAAATATAAGACACAATTAAGATGTGTGGTAGTTGGTACCATAACAAAAATACAAAAAGAGCTTTATATATAAAAATAGAATTGACCTGAATCTGTTGCAGTCTTTTGCAGAAGCGCAATTATAGACACCTCAACTCCTCAAACCGGTTAGTTCAAAATGCACTCGTCCAAAGAACGAGGTTGAATTCAAAACCAAGTTTTCTTCCTTACAAAGGCTGGCCACTTTCATGTAGGAAAAGTATTGGCCGAATTACGCTGAATTGTTCCGAAAATATCTAGCTATATGTACAGCTAGCTCAACAAGCAGTGCATAGACTTAAACGGAATAAGGTTGTGTTTATTGTCAGTATTTTTAATGTTTCACCTGCTATCTGTCAATAAAAATTCATAACTTATCAGAGGTTTTCTAAATCCTTAAAAAATTATTTTTCATCAAAACAGGTTTGTCACAGATATTCTATATGTATATAGCTTCTAGGTAATTTACCGTTTCGGTGTATCTCTATATTAAGATGCCTTCAATTCTAATTATTCAAGTTTCGAAAGATTCACTAGTTCATAGTTGACACTTTTCGGTGGGAAATTACGGAAACGTAAAGATTAGAGAAATATTTGTTATAAAAGCTCTATTAGTCGCGGAGCATTTTGTGGCCATTGAAATTGTAAAGAGGCATCTACCTAGGATCGCGCTGAAAATTATTTTTCCCTCTTACAAAGTTTTATAAAGTCGGTAAGTGATATATGGTCATTTTTTGAAAATTGCCCGCAAATCAAAATAAAATAGAAGACGAACCAAATTTTTCGTAACACCTTTACTGAATAGTGACAGAAAATATCTTTAGCGTTCTATATCTCGTGCTTAGGTCTGTATGAAAATCTGCTTAGAGTAAGTTTTCATATTAAAATGATAATAAAGATAAATCATTTTCTTCTGTGCAAATTTAACGTAAACAAAGCACGTATTGTCTAGTATCTTTGAGTTCATAGGCTCAGTATAAAACCACATGCGTACTGTGTAACGAACTCATAATGGCTCGATTTAATCGTGAAGAAAATTAAGTACGTTGGACGTATTTTATCCTCTTCCTATATTCCTCTACTTTTCTTTTTATAATATTACTGTGTTACACAAGTTCACTGCTTCCACTGTTATCTGCCTCTAGTAAGAAACAATTTTCCAAAAGAAGAAAATTGAAGAGGCTAAATAGGAACCTAGTATCGAACACCAGAGCTTCGCAAAAACTTACGGAAGGCTACCTGCAAAGCTACAGATGAGTAATGTGATGAACACCCTGAATACGTGAACTTTTATGTTGCATTATGTCAGAGATACAGTTCAAGTCTGTTATCATTCAGACATTCCTATGGCTCATCCAGGCGGCGATGACGCACGTGTTTAGGCTCTTGCCCTTCATGCAGCGGAGCAGCCTCAAGTACAGAAAATGGTTAATATAAGTAAAAGCCAACCTGGTGAAGTAGTGAAAAAAGATGCAGGATAGTTGTGCCGGCCGCATAGGCGATCAAATCTTCTCATCGCTTGTCCCTTACTAACCGTTTCAACTTTAAAGTAGTTTCAATCGCAATGTATGGGATATGCGTAACTTAAAAAGATCTTACAGTGAAAAAGTTCAAGCAATTGAATCGCCTCAAAGCCTCCTATCGTCAAAGAGTATTGGTACTACACATGACGACCCAAAATCGGTTTGCCTATCTCACAGCTGATTCGCCACTGGACTTCTAGCAACGAAGTACTTTCAGACCAATTTTACAAACTAAGAGCGAATATTCACGGAGATCGATAGGCATCTCTTTGCTCCAAGTGCTATGAGGAACAAGTATAGATAGGGCCGAACCTAAGGTTTTGCCGTGAAAAAGTTCCACCATAAACTTTTCAGAAAACCAGATTTCCACGAGCCTAGTAAATGGAGATAAACTGGTAGATCGTGATAAAAATTCTGCTGCTTTTTGCCCATGAAACCATCTTTAGAACAGCTAGTATATGTTTCGAGTTAATCTCATTAGCCCAACAGGCCTTTATGTTTTGAATTTTACGTCCGATGTCGCCGTTAGGCTCAGTAAGCCTAGACGACACATAGTAACTCAATAGTTCTACATATTCACCCATATCTTGGGATAGGTTATTATTGATTTATCAATATATACTATTTGACTGCTACTAGTAAAAGCGAACAAACGAAATCTGTTTCAACAATTAAGTAAGGAGAAGGATTCATGAAATTTGAAAGATCTGGCATCGATCCTTGCAAGGCTGAGCTGGAACACTAAAAGCACTCCCGAATAAAGTTGATGCAGAAATACATATATATATTACCGTTAGAAGACATGGTTACAATTATCCATATAACAGTGTATAATACTAACCTGTAGCAATATCCCTGTAAAGGTTATCAGCGCATATGCTAGCGATTTTCCATGCCAGAAAGTGTGGAAATTTCCTGAAATGGAATGAACCAGGTGAAGTTATAAAACAATGAATTACAAGTACTGCATAATTTAGCCAGTAAAAAAAATGTTTCTATCAAGTCTGTGACCTGACCTTGTTTTTGGCATATGTACGAAGAATACAGGTTTCGTTTCAATACAACTTTGAAAATACGTCACTTTAGGCCAGCTGGTTGCTGTTCCTATGCATGGTTCGGGGTGTATTTTATTTTATACATCAAAATTGTGGCCTTGGGTTCTTAGTCGCCTCTAGGATTCAAGAGACTCATATGAACATTTCTTCAAATCTTCGAGACCTCGCAATAATGAGTCCGACTGAGCCTTCCTACAGCTGTTTCTTTATCGGACACGTAAGTTGCGGTTCGACACATAGATCAACAACATGGGATGATTCCACATCGGTAGAAACCGCGCGTTGTCATTTGTTTCTGTTTAGTAGGAAAACGATCTTTTGTCTGGAGGTTTTCTATATTCACATACACTGGTACTGGTCAGTCTTATTGAGAACACGAATCCAAGTATCATGCATAGACTTTTTCTGTCAGCAATCCCATTTTCTTGCGTGTGTCTGTGTGAGTATGTTCATGTCTCTGTGGATCTTCCTCCATTCACAGCACCGGCGCCTATAGCCAGACTGGCGGGCGCCGGACATTTTCCGCCATCGCCCTAGAGCGCTGCTGCCATAAGAACAGCTAGCTCACTGGCCTTCTCCAAACCTGAAACTGCATTAAGTGAAGTACAATGAAGACAGTCAGCGTTGGCAGCTGGGCCCGTACTTTGCACTCGTTTTTGCAAGTAACCATCCTAAGTTAACACGGGGCATTTTGCCACCAGATAATGAGTAGCTTAATCTAACGTGCCCCAGGCTATTGTTTAGAGCTAGACGTGTTTGCAGCCATCTCCCGTCTCGTCTTTCTACTCCTCTACCACATTTTTTGGTTTTGCAATGGCCCTTTACGTGCTAAAGTGTGCTATCTGGGGTAATGGCACCGAAAGTTACTAAATTCCTGTCTGCGATCGGTAAGGTGTGAAACAGTGGCAATGTCGCAATAAAAACATGAAATTGTTCATCTATAAAGTCTAATTATATAGTGGTAATAAGAATACATTAAGCAAACAAACAAACTGTGCAATACATAGTACAAAACCGCTTTGCTGGTAAATCAACTAGAGGTCTGCTGACTCTTCTTTTCTCTTCATAAAACAAGTCTTTCCGTTCAAGAACAAATCGTGAGCTTAGGTTACTCGCTAGAAGATACCGCTTGATCGAGCAACGCTTATTGTGCTACTGAGAGAAAAGGTCAACATCAGTTTCATGATCTAAACGTAGATAGCACCTATATACTACATATGCTGTGATTTATTAGCGCATCAAGCTTCTATCTTTGGCAAAAGTTAAAGTTATGTAAGGCAAGTTATGTATGGCAAAAGGTAAAGTTATTATGACTATCATCATATATTATAGACGATCAAATGATGGTTAGGGATTAAGTTCCTTAAAATTAAATCTGTAGTGAATACCTATAAATGATAAATTTAATATAGCTATTAAACTGAGGTAGTATATATAAATATATTTCGCATATTTTGTACACAATAAAAGACAGACCAAGAAAGGAGTCCAGGTCGTCCTAAGGAGCTGCTGGAGTAATTCGAAGATGAATAAAATTACCTAACACATTGAGATCCGATTTCCACTCGACAGTACTATATAATATGTAATTCATATTTGCTTAGTAAAACAATATGTAAGTGATCCGCCGAAAGGCCAACTGCATCGTAAAATAACACATTGGCCAATTTTGAGCTTCTAGCAAGGATATCTGCCGGAGAGATCTACATAATATAGTAAAAAGAAGCTGTAAAGTAAACCCAATGTTCAAGAGTTGAACCTCAGATATAGTATACGCATCAGTGAAACGATTATCGATAAAGTAACAAAGAACCCTATACTATCAAGGTTAACAAGTTGAATTGAGTAACGACCCTGCAATAAAAATGGTGATGACGACATTTCGAAAAGACCGCTGGCGTTAAGTCTGTGACCCATGTGGATTGTCGCTCGTCTGGCATCGACCAGCGGCAATTAGCAGACGAAATAGTTTTTAGCTGCTACAACGATGCCGTCGGCACTTACTATATTTAAGGCTACCTCTCCACTTGGGGCTGGGATATTACTCCCATTTCTTTGCCCTCCCACCCCTGACCCTGTGGAACTTCACCTTCCACCTTAGCGAATAGCTACGGTTTAAGCCAACTGAATGTGGAGCCAATATGCGTCTGTTTACATTGGCAACATATTTTGAATTTGGTTTGAGGCGAATCTGTATTATTTCAAAGCGTACGTTTAATTCCTAATTTTCGTTTTCTATTTTTTCAAGGCAGCATAAGAACCCTGGGTGTTCACGTGAGACATTTTATGCATAGGTTGCCAAGGTTACCTGCTGATTTTGTCTATAACTGGTTTTCAGTAATATACGGTACAACGTCACTTTATTCTACAACCGGTAAGGGCTGTATATATTTACTATACGTCGATGTCTTCCTTTCCGTGTTTCCTTCACAAAATAATACCCTGCAGGGATGCTCAACTGTGCGAAAACAAATTCATCTCTAAATCGACCAAAGCAGATACCGTTAACAGAATATTTATGTTGATAATTACTATTCTTAGTACGCCAAAAGGGTTAGCGCTGGTGTTTCTGCCTGTATATAGGGTCCGCTTTCGATTTTAGCGTTTCTTGACCGATCCTTCGTCCGAATCTATGACAAAGTTGCCGGATCTGGGCTTCGATAGGTACACTTTGTTGTTGTGATCAAATGGTCTAGCCTTTTTTTTCATATTTAGGTTTGTGTTGGAAGAGTCATTGTTGGTACTCCGTATGAGGTAAGCGAAATTGCATATATGTTCGTTCCTATGCTTGAAATTGAGTTGCACAATAAAAAGGCAGACAACGTCGGGGGCAACTTCATTTTCATTTTTCTTTTTACTGTTTGAATGTCTTATCACCTTTGACAAACATAATGGTCACCACAAATGTACACACCGATAGAGTATCGAATGCCAAACTGTACCTAAATATAGAATAATATTTCGAGCTCCACTTCCCGCACCGGCGTTAGACATGTCCCTCTGCTCCAATTCGGGCCTAGACCACCACATAGAAATATGTCGTTCAGCAGGCAAACCCAGTGTAGCGTAGAGCGAAAAAAATGTTGAAATGTACAAACATGAGACATATGACAGACGAGACACGGTCGGGCCCACAAGCTAACTCTCGTTACCAATATCATAATTAATAGACAGTTATGCTCGCGGAAGTAATAATAATCAGTCCACGTATCTCTTTCTAATCACTTCTTTTCCTTATTGTCAATACAGGTGAAACTTTCTATTAGGACTTGTGTTTATTTTCAAACAGTTGCGCCAGAAAAGATTGTGTAAGATTTTCTTCTTTAAGGATTTTTGTTTTATCTAATTGATAACCACACGCTCATAGTATGGCACTACTACGGTACTTAAGTTGAAGTGAAGTACACCGACACTTAAGTGAGAAACAAAATCTTCATGTGTATCACGTAGTTGAGTCTGCAGTCAGATTTTTCTCGTCATTTTTTATTTTCTATATAGCGCCAACACCTGAGACGACATTTTCGAAGTTCAAACGTTTCTTGATAAAACCTACTTAAGCTAAACTATATAAGAGTACCGTGCTGAGTTCACCTCTAGGTAGTAACATTACTGACAGCACATAAAAAGCACACACTACATAAACAAGTTCTTTACTGCACAAAAATTGGCTCGTGAAGCGTATTTATGATCTGAATACGGCTGGTGAGATAATTTCCCGATATAATAAACAATTCACTACCATATGAATGGATCTGATCACAATTGTAAGATCTAGCCAAGATCCAGGCCCTCGTTGTTGGTCGGGTCGGTCTAGATCCGAACGCTGGCTACTCATTTGGTAGAATTATAGAAAATGTTTCCATGCAACAACCCTACGGGCGCTCCTCAATCCGTTTCTTCACTGTACTTCGCTGAGTAGCTCCTCGACCAACATCGGTTAAACGCCATCTATCATGACGACGTCCCTCACTACGATTATTTGAACAGCGGTAACGGTAGAACTGGCTAGGTAGTCGTGTAAAGCGACCCAAAAATTATATTAGCAAAAGCACAGATGGTCAAAACAGACAGCGATATTACTGTCTCATCGTTAAACAGACTCCCATTCAGTCATATTCTATACTAAAGTTCAAAGCCATTCGACCCTTACAGTCTTCACTTTATTCAGGGAAAGAGCTGTACTACGTTATGTTCGTTTTCCCCATAAAAAAATAACGCATTTCTTAGGCTGAATTATTGAAAAACAGCGTTGCGTTTTACAAACACCCTTCCTGTCGTCTCCGAGGGACTGGGTTTGCCGTTCATCCACATACAGCTAGAAGTAGTTAAACAATTTAGAAATTTTCGATTGGAAAAACGGTTCATTTGTGCCACCCTAGCTAACGTGACACATACAAAATATTCATGCAAACGACACGGCATCAACTATAGTCCATATACACACGTTACGCATAACGTAAAGGTACAGCCTCGAACCTAAGTAGCAATCGTTAATTGAGCCTTTCCTTAGATGAATTTGTTTCCAGTCGGTATCACAAGCGAGCGAGTGAGACTTCTGTTTACAAAGACGACGACATGATCGTAATTACTAGATGCGATAGCCACAGGCAAGGATGAGCATGCTTGACTGCGTTTTACTTTGGAGAGTTTAAAGGCAGCACGAAGAAAATTGCGGAGAAGGAACTGATCCAGTATTAAACGATGCGCGCATCAATACGGAAATCACGTATGACCTAGTTGCAGAAGAATGAACGGTCGTCAGCATTACTCGCATCTATTTTTGGTGGGCTGACTGCTGCTGCTCAGACCACCGTAACTAAAATTCTGAGCAAACAAACAATATACTGGAAACTTACCAAT